GCAGGGGTGGCTGGGGCACAGGAGCCAGAGGTTGGTGTTTGGTTGTGCCCTTTTGGTACGGAGGCTATGTCAGGCCAAACTGCTCATGTGATTGCACCTTCTGTCATTCCCAGATCATTCCCAAAGGATTGCTCTGGACTTCTGCCCAACATGGAATTCAGCCAGTCAAAATTTAGCCTGTTAAAGTTGAAATGCAATTCAGGGTGGGTGAACATGCCCAGGCTCAACCTGAAACAGCAGGGTCCCCCCCCCCCCGGCAATCTCCTGGAATTACAATTGAACCTCAGGCTACAGAGAAAAGTTTCCTTGGAGAAAATGGCTGCTTTGGAGGATATTCTCCCTGGTGAGGTCCCTCTCCTCCCCACACCCTCCCTCTCCCTGGGCTCTCCCCTCCAATCTCCAGGAATTTCCCTACTCAGAGTTGGCAACCCAAGCACTAACATTACTGTCTGAAGTGAATATAGGGAGGGGTATCCAGGCATGGGGGGGGCTCTTTCAACTCAGAATGGCTCTGTTCTCCCAAGTTTCTTCTGCTCTGGGAACTAAAAAGTTTTTGCACCCTCTTCATTTGATTTTGTCCAATGGACAATTGTCCAGAAGTCGAACCACTGCCAAGCCAATATGAAGCCTCTGTTCCTCTCGCTCACCCCTGAACTGTTGAACAGTTCCCCGTGCTCTGCACTGATTGCTTATTGGCTTTTAGGTGTCAGGGGGTATTGTATAAACCCACTATAATTACTATTGCCATTTTGTATGACTCATTCCTGACTCAAAGAGTCCACGTCCATGTCCACGTCACCTTGCTCTGATCAATGAAGCTGAACCTGTTTAAGGACCTGCTGTTGATGCTGAGTTATTGAAGTACCTGACACTCTTCCAAGACTCCACAAAGCCTCCGGCATGGGTTCTAGTTCCCTTTTTGCCTCCAGATCTAACTCTCTGAACCGGTCCCCCTGAAAGTGAGACAAGGTATCAGCAATGTTGTTGTAGATACATGGTACGTGTTCTGCAACAAACAAAATATTGTACTGTAAACAATGTAAGACAAGCCCAGATGGGCAACATAACCATTGGGGACTGCGAAGTCAGCTTATTGACCACCTTGCACCACCACCTGATTGTTACACCAGAATTTTACTGCTTTGTCCACATGGAGATGCCACAAGTGAACTGCCACAACCATTGGGAAGAATTCCAGAAAGTTCAGATCCCTGGTAAGGCCTGATTCCACCCGGTCCTGGGGGCTGCATGCACCAGTGACCCTGAAAAAAGACTCCGAACCCCGGGCTCCCAGAAACATCTAAGGAGATCTGCAGGGAAGCCTCAAACAGCACAGAGCTGTGCCAAAAGGAGACCCCATTGTACCCTTTCAGCAATTCCAGCCACATGTGAAGGTCAGCCTTCATCCCCCCAGAAATCCAAACCCGAAGGTGAGAGTTCCAAACTCCCTTCAGGTAGTCACAAATCCCACGCATGAACACTCCCCCCAGCAGGGTCCCTCACAGGCTTGGCAGCCACCACAGAGCATGAGGGGAGCAGTCCTGGCAGGCATGAAGGGCGAGACCAGGGTGGCTGCCTGCTCTGAGGCCTCCATCAAAGGGACCGCTGTGCAGAGCACCTGCATCTGAGCAGCCAATGCCTCCCCACGCTCCCCACCGAAGCAGGTATGGGGAGGGGCAGCCTCATGCTGCAACAAGGCGTATGCAGGGGCACGGCTTTGCGGCCAATCCCAGGAAAGGTGGGGCCAGCTTGACAGGCAGGACCAGGAGGCTGGGTAGAGACAAAGAAGGCAGTATTTGAGGCAGGAAATAAAAGGAGGCCGGGGGATGGAGGTCGGGGAGGATAACCACTGGGCCGGGCTGACTGAGCTGCAAGGGTGAGCTCTAAAGGCTTATATTGGCCTACAGAGCCCGGTTCCAGGTGGGGCCTGTCCATATTAGGGCCTGCCCATATAAGGGCATATAAGGCCTATAGAAGCCTTCAGAGCACACTCAATTTGAGTCGAGCCATCTCACTAAACTGAGCTCCAAAAGTGAGCCCCAAAGACCTCTGAAGGCCTTAGGGGCAGAGGTGTCAAACATATGGTCTACAGGCCAACTCTGACCCATCCAGGGCTCTCATCCGGCCTCAGCTGTTGTACCTCTCCCAACAGCATTTAAATTCCGTTAGAGCCCACCACCAGCCTGTGGCCCCATCTGAGTGAGTTGTGAAGGCATTTAAATGCCTTTGGAGCTCACTTCCAGTTGAGCGGCCTGACCCAAAAGCTGTTGGTGCCATTTTTATTATCCAAAAGAAAAGAAAAAAACATAAAAGAGAAAGCAATTAAAATTCAGCATCGTATTAAGCCCCTAATTAATCATGTTTAGGGTCTCTGAGAAGGTCTTGGGCAAGGCCCAAATCAAAGAATCTCAGAAAACTGGAGGATCTGGAGCAAATGCCTTTCTTTAAAATATTTCTGTGCCTCCTTCTTTCCTTGGACTGAAGGTGGCGTGGATGCCTTCCAGTGCTTTCCTCTGCCCAAGTATGAAGATTTCTCCTTTTGTATCCTGCAGGGTGGAGTGGGGCTTGATTCTTCCATGCCCCTTTAAGCCCTGTTGAAGCTTGTGAGACTTGCTCTTCTCTCCCCTCTGGTGGTCCTTCCAGCAAGTAAGATGGGACTTCCCCAGAGGCCCTGGGAGCATTGCAAGAGACGCAGCAAGCCTGGTGAGGATAGAGCCAGTATGTTTGAATGTCTTTGTTTGTTTCCTTCTGCGTAATGTGCACAGAGCTAATGTGGTGCAAGGTATATAGTGCTGGAACAGAGCAAGGAAGACCTGAGTTTCAGTCCCCATGCAGCCTGGGAAAGAGAAGGCTTAGAGGGGGCATGACTGCAGTTTTCAAGTATTTGAAGGACTGTCATGCAGAAGATGGAGCAGATCTATTCTCTCTTGCTCCAGATTGCAAGACTAGATCTAAGGGGTGGAAATTACAAGGGAGTCGTTACCGGCTAAATATCAGGAGAAACTTCCTAACTGTAAGAGTGGTTGAGCAGTGGAACAGACTGCCTTGGGAGGTGGTGGATGCTCCTTCACTGGACGTTTTCAAGCAGAGGAGGCTGGACGACCATCTTTCGGGTATGTTGTAGGGCTATCTTTCAGCTATGCTCCTGCAGAGTGAAGGGGGTTGGACTAGATAACCTGCAAGGTCCCTTCCAACTCTAACATTCTATGATTCTATGAAGTACATAGGGTCACCCTGGGCCTTTCATTGTCTCTCAGCATAATTTACCTCTCCAAGTTGTTGTGACGCTAAAAAGAAAGTGGGTTGCATGTGCCATCCTGAACTCCTAGGAGGCAGAGTGGGATAAAAGCATCGTGTTTCATTATTACTGCGAAGATTGCACAGCCCAAACCAATTCTGTGTTAGATGCCATCAGTCACTGACACTGGCAGGAATCAGGATGAATCTTTTATGGGCTAGCTTGGAATAGCACTGAAACAATTTTGGTTTTGCACAAATTTAAAAGAAATGTTGGAGGAGAGTTTTAAGGTGGACCGCCCAAAAGAAAAATCGGTTGGTTCTAGATCAAATCAAGCCTGGACTCTCCCTAGAAGCTACTTTGGTCACTTTATGAGAAGACAAGAGTCACTGGAAAAGACAAGAATGCCAGGAAAAGTTGAAGGCAGCAGGAAAAGAGGAGGACCCAACATGAGATGGATGGACTCAGTCAAGGAAGCCATAAAGACTCTCAGTTTGCAAGACCCGAGCAAGGCTGTTAATGACAGGATGTTTTGGAGGTCATTCATACAGTCGCCATAAGTCAAAAGAGATTTGATGGCACTTAACACAGACATTGTAAAGGTGTTCTTGTGTGAGCAGAGTGCCCTGCTGCTTGTGAAAGAGAGTGCCACAACTTCCATGAATTTCCCACTTGAACTGGAGTTCTTGCAACGCTTGTTCTGGTGGAACAATTTTAGGTGATGTTGGGGTTGCAGAAGATGGGGGGGGGGAATCCATTCTGTGAGCAGAACTCTACTCATGATACTTTGGATCCAATTCAGTTTTATAGCTTCTCCCTCCCCCTTTAAAACCCCTAAATCCTTCCCTTTTATTTCCTTAGAATCTCACCAATTTACAAATCTTGAATAGCAGAAAATTCTTATTCATAATTTTTTGATGCAAAGGATAAAAAGACTGAAACAAGTTTTGCTACCACCAAAGTAATCTTAGGATAATTATCTCTAATCAAATAAAATAAAGTTTCCAAGATATAGGGAGGTAACTGGTCAGTAATAAATAGCTTGAAATAATAAATCCCTACATCTAAACACATCGGCTTCTGGGGATGTTAAAAGTCAAATTCACCCAAATTAAGAGACTATACATTTATTTTTTGGGGAAACAAATTAAAACTAGGGGAAGTTCCCCTGCTCTGAGTCAGTAATGTTAGAGTTAAAAGACAAACACAGCTCCTCAAATTACAACCGTCTTGATATATCCCAAGTATAGAATTTAAGGATAAATATGGGGGGGGGGTAGTGAAGGAAAAAGACAAAGAAACCAATTATTTGCCATTTTAAATGATTAGCTAAAAGTATTTATCAGGCTGAGTTTTAAACAAACAAACAAAAAACAGGGAAAATGTACACATCTGAATTGTCAAAACTGCTAGAAAATCTCTAGATATTCTTGATAAAAGATTGCTAGTCTGCAGTTGGGATGAGACCAAGGGGTCTTTTGTTGAGTCCTGGAATTAGCAGTGCACACAAGTGTTACCATTTGTAGTCATTTATAGAGAAGGAGACAACACACAGGCAGATGCTAATAGCTTTTGCCTTGGTTTATAACCCAGTTTCCATCCTTCTCTGCTTGCTGTTCATAGCACTTAGTGTACCCCTGAAGAGCATCCAAGAGTCGAGAATTTGCATTCATCAGCAGACTTTTTTTTTTACGGCTATAAAACTCTGACCTTTTTTTAATTCTTATGATTTTTGAAAAAGTAGGTTGCCTGCAATGGACCATCATCTGGGTAAATATTCTTTTGGCAGGCCAGTAAAGTTTCTGTCCCTTAGAGCTTTGTCCACAATCACAATATATTTATTTATCAAGTCTTTCATTTCCTTTGTGAATGGTTCAAATCTTTTCTGCCTGGCACCCGACCGCTTGAAATTCCCGTCGCGGTTGTTTTCCACACAGAGCAGCCGGTCCTCAGTCACACTGATGTTCAGAAAGGCTACCATTTTTTGAAGCTGGGACACGAGGTTCTGTTTCAAGTCTTCATAGTGAACAACAAGGATATGTTTCCCGTACTTCAGCCAGTCGAGGACGTGAGAAGCCCACCACGAAGCATAGCTGTTTACAAAATCTGGCCACTCTGTATGGGGCAAAAAAAGAAGACTTAGTCTTGTCTTGTCATCTGGAAGGAAGGACTAAAGAGACAGTTTTTTCAGGGGGCTATCTCCATAGACAGCTGCCTGTTTTCAGGTGAAAACATTTGTGTGTGGGGGGGGGGACATTCTATTGGTGTCCTCTGTTGGTGTTTTTGTTAGGGTCCTTGGTGGAAAAACTTGCTTCATCAGCAGTCTAATTTTTACTCACTATTTAATATTACCTACTGCCAGGGCTATTTTTGGGCCGGAATGCACAGGAACGGAGTTCCGGCTGGCTCCTGAGTTGGCCACACCCAGCAGGAACTCATTAGCATAATAGGCCACACCCAAAGCAGCAACTCATTAGGATTGGCTACCTTAGAGGTGTGTGGCCTAACATGCAAAGGAGTTCCTGCTACAAAAAAAGCCCTGGGTTTTGACAACAAACAAGGTAAACAGAATAAGGAGCAAAAGGTGGGTGTGGCTGGATGACCACACTCCTGCTAACATGGGGTTGTGGCCTAATAAGCTAATGAGCTGTGCTGCCAGGGGTGTGGCCTAATATGCCAATGGGTTTCTGCTGTTGGGTGTGACCTATTATGCTAATGAGTTCCTGCTGGGCTTTTTCTACAAAAACCCCCCTGACTACTGCACTATCATATGCCGGTCTAATAGTTTATATTTGAACTCACTTTTCATCTGATTTTATCTGCTGTTCTTATTGAATGAATAATTTTACTGATGTTATTATTTTGTTGTAACACTTTTGAAAATAATGTACGGACAAGTGGCTAAGGAATTAAAAATGGGTTTCATTGAAAGGATTGGCTGAGTGAATGCTTTGTATCTTGTGTCTTTTTATGTGTGTTTACAAGTTTGTTGGTTTGTTTGTCAAGTTACAGTTCTCCATTTACCTGAGTCTGTAGGTTTGTTTATTTTGTATATGCATGATGTATATATGATATGATATATGATATATGTGTTCCGTGTGCCTTGGTGTTTAGTCATGCCAGCCACATGACCACGGAAATGTCTTCAGACAGTGCTGGCTCTTTGGCTTTGAAATGGAGATGAGCACCGCAACCCTAGAGTCGGATTTGACTGGCTTTTGAGCAAGGGAACCTTTACCTTTACTTTTATGCTTAATATGCAGTTTATCTGTACAAAATACCCCATTTTATCCCATTATATATACACACACATTATGTATAACCCCACAAATAGTATTGAGACATAAATGGGGAAAATTCAGTGTCATGGAAGAAGAGAGAAGAAGAAGAGATTGGATTTATACTCCTCCCTTCACTTGGAGTCTCAGAGCGGCTTACAAACTCCATTCTCTTCCCCTACCCACGACAGACACCCTGTGAGGTAGGTGGGGCTGAGAGAGTTCTTTTGGGAACTGCCCTTGAGAGAACAGCTCTCAGAGAACTTATGACTGACCCAAGGTCACACCAGCAGCTGCATGTGGAGGAGTAGGGTATCAAACCCGGTTCTCCCAGATTAGTAGAAGAGAAGAGGTTGGACTTATACCCCACCCTTCACTACCCAAAGGGGTCTCAGAGCGGCTTACAAACTCCTTTCTCTCCCCACAATAGACACCCTGTGAGGTAGGTGGGGCTGAGAGAGCGCTTTTGAGAACTGTCCTTTCAAGGACAGCTCTGACAGAACTATGGCTTGCCCAAGGTCATCCAGCAGCTGCAAGTGGAGAAGTGGAGAATCAAACCCGGTTCTCCCAGATTAGAGTCCGTGCACTTAACCACTACACTTAATCACTACACCAAACAAAAATATGATAAAAGTAAAGAATTGTGAGTTCAAATTATGCAAGGAAGAAATGAAATTGATAATTTTCAAATAATATCAGGGATGAGAAATTCAAAATCATACTTTGAAAAGGTTTTTTTTTGTTGGGGGGGGGGTTCTGTAATATTCCCCAAAGTTCCTAAATACTTATGCTTTTGTATTTGTTTGCCTGTTGTCCACCATTCTGCTAGGCTCGTGTTTCAGCACCAAGTTTTGTCTCATGCTGGGTCTTTTTTTCCTTCACAACGTCATCTCAACCAATCAGGAGTTATGTTGAGAATGGTATTATGTCACTAGGAGCCAAATTTGACATTTTGATGGTGTTGAGGGGAAATGTAGCTTTTGGAATGACACGGATGTCACGCTGGGTTGCCAGGAGAAGGACGAGGACTAGGGATGTGCATTCGGTTTGTCCGAACCAAATGCACCCCCGAAAATGGCCCATTCAGACCCCTTTCGGGCTGCTGCAGGCTGATTCAGATTCTCCGATCTGAAGCGGCTTGCCACCGAATTGCCACCGAATTTCGGCAGCAATTTCAGCCCCATTATATCCTATGGGCCATTGAAGTCAATGGCGAAAATGTAGGGTATATTCTGGGGCTAGAGGGGAGGGGGTTTGAGGGAGAGGCTCCAAACCTGCAGGGTAGCTGCTGGAACCTCTCCCCAAGATACCAACCAAGTTTGAAGAACATTGGACCAGGGGGTCCAATTCAACGGGCCCCCAAACAGGTTGCCCCTATCCCCTCCATTGTTCTCTAGGGTGGGAAAAAGTAACTTGGGGAGAGGCTCCAACAGCTACCCTGTGAGTTTGGAGTCTCTCCCGCAAGCCCCTTCCCCTCCAACCCCCAGAATATACCCTACATTTTCACCATTGACTTCAATGGCCCATAGGATATAATGGGACTGAAATTGAGATTCGGCTGGCCGAAAGACTCCCGAATCGGCTCGTACTGACGAAAGTAACATGCGGGAGTCTTACTGCCAGCCGAAATTGATTCTGCCCAATTCGGCCAAATCCGCATGGGCTGAATTTTTTTGTTTTTGCACACCCCTAACGAGGACCTCTGCCGCCTCCCCTTGACGAAGCTGGGCAAATCCTGGAAGTCCCCTTCACAGCCCCAAGTGGCCAGAGTTGGGATCCCCTTCTTGATGTCCAGGAAAAGGGCTGTGACTTTGGGGAGGGCAATTTGACAGTTAAGAAATACTGGGATGGGAGTGGCCTCTGCCATTTTCATATTTCTAAGACCTTTTTTATTCCATGACTTGAGGGAAAAAGATAAATCCTACATCTTTTTACCTTTGCTTTTCCAGTTCCGGTCTGTAGCATATCCAAGGTGGCCGGCACATTTCCGATTAAATTCTGCCACAAGCGACTTGTAGGGATTCCGTATCAGCAAGATGGCCGAGTCAAACATCTCAATTTCCCTTCTGCCACTCTCGTGTGTTTTGACACAAATAGTCCTCCTGCTTCTCCAGTGATCCTTCTCTCCTTTAAAACCTGTGTTTTTAATTAAACATGTACATTGTTACAATCTTAGGCTTTCATTTTGGCTAAATGTGATCTGATGGGTAGTAAACATTGGCCTTGACAAAATGACATTAATGCTTCTTAACAACAGTGAACCTTTCCCCTCATTGATGACCTGGAATCCAGCTTTCTAATGCAGCACCCTTAGAGGCAGAGAGAGAGAGAGAGAGAGAGACAGAGACAGAGACAGAGAGAGAGCTAAAAGCAATTCATGGCTTGAATGTAGAGAGTCAGAGAGAGAGCTGAGTTGGCTGAGATTGTAACATCCTTGGGGTGTAGCTGCTCTTTTTGTGGACTTGGTGCAGGATTAGCAGCTGTGCTATCTGACTGCAGAAGCCTATGTGACTCCACTATGGCTTGATAACCTGTTTCTGCCCCCATTCAAATACTTGCCAGGATGGGCCCTGCTTAGCTTCTGAGATCTGACAAGATCGGGCTTGCCTCCTGGGCTATCCAGGTCAAGGCTCGACTCTATGATTTTATAATCTTGCTCTTACTGCAATATTTTCTAACTTCTGTAATCTGGTTTTTGCACTGTCTGTTATTTTGACTTCTGCTGTTTTTATTGAATTGTTTTCAAGTTTTGTAATTCATTGTGAATCTGAGCAAGAAAGGTAGGCTGTACATAAATAAACAGATAAGCAATTTGCACACCTGATGTCTGCAGTCCTGTGAACCACTTACTTGGGAATAAACCTTGCTGAGTAAAGATGCATGAGATTGGGCTGTCCTGCCCACACGGTGCCATCCTGAACAGAGTTTTGCCCTTCTAAATCAACTGATCTCTGCAGGCTTAGAAGGAGGTTGCTCTGCATGAGATGCCACTGATGGTCATATGGCTTGGGAGGAGGCATCTGAGTATTTCCACTGTTACAAGAAAGCCTGTGCCAGTCGTTTGTTTGAAGTCCCACTTGGAACTGTGACTGACCCACTCTAGGAAAGGAGGCTGGCCACTCTCAGGGTGGACGGGGGTGGACGGAATGGCCCCGACTCACTCCCCAAAGGAGGCAGAAGAGGAAGGAGAAGAGAAGGAATTGGCTAGGCTTGGCTGGGCACCCTCCTCCCCACAGGAGGCATGACTTGGCAAGGCTGAGTGCCCTCTCTCCCGTGTGGTGTGCCACTGGGCTAGGCCAGGTGCCTCCCCCCCCCCCGAGTGGCCGGTGTGTGGCTTCCATGTGCACTCTCCTTTCCCGGCACCCCTGGCAAACAGCAGCTGCTGTTGTGAGCCTCACAGGGGGTGAGGATCCCCCCTCACCGCTGCTGGGTAGGGTGGCTCTGGTGGGAGGCATCCCCAGACCATCAGCCCACATCAGCCCAATCCACCCTGGCCCACCACCATGGACTCCCGCTCTGAAAGGAAATAGGCAAGGCCCCTGGGACGACGAAGTAAGGAACGCATAACAATATACAGATTATTTTCTAAGGGACTTTCCTCTTAGAAATAACGGTTCCCAAACCAGACACAAGAACATTTTCATCAGTTTCACATTCGCCAGGGAGCTTCAAAATAACATTTTAAAAAGAATCCTCTTAATTCCCCTACTCTCAGTTTCTCCATGACATCTAACAATCCATTTCTTTTCCTCTTTTTAGGAATTTGGAATTTGTTTCAGGTCAATTAAATTTTGTTCAAAGAAAAAGAAATGTGAGTGGAGGAGGGGCAGGAAGGGAGGTTCTGCAAAAGTCCAGACTGTCCCTCTGAGGCAGGAAGGGCCTCCCCCAAACCTCCCAGTCCTCCTGCTGGAGCACGCCCCCCCCCCGGGGTGTGTGTAACAAAACACCCCAACTTTGCAAGGATTGAAGTCACAAGATGGTGAACAGAGATGTAGCAGAAATTGCAATTAGAAATGAAAGAGAAAGTCTTTTGAGAGAGAGAGAGAGAGAGAGAGAAAGAGAATAAGAGGAATCAATGGCCCTAGTTACAAAAGTGCGTTTCAGAAAAAGAAAATTTATACCCCGTAAGACAAAACTGTAAATGCCAGCCTGAGTAGTGGCTGTGTGGACAGGGAAGGCACGTGGGAGCTGCAGATCAGGAAAGGCAGCGGTGTTGTCCAGGTCAGTCATTTGTCCATCCCGTGATCCATAAGGCTCAACCTCCAGGTGAGTATTTTGACCCAGTGAATTGTTCTCTGTTGTTGAAGCTGCAGCAGGAGACTTCTATCTATCCACTACATCTTATCCAAGCCTCCTTCCCAGCAGCTCTGGGTGGCATACATGGGTCCACCCCACCCCATTTTATGCTGGGAGCAACCCTATGAGGAAGGGTAGGTGGCCGGGGAGGGGGGGGGAAGAGATCCACCTAAGGGTGCTCAAGGAGCTTCCTGGTTGTGTGAGGATTTGAACCCAGATCTCCCATGTCCTTTTGCCAGCATAGTGGCTCTTCTCTCCCACCCACCCAACTATTTCCATGGTGGGTGTTGGGGCATCTGCTGCCTTTCATCCACCTGGCTCACCATTGCTTCAGCAGTGTCCCAGGTACTGAGAGCTCAAAGGCTTTTAATACCCATAGGGTATTACCCATAGGAGCCCTGGGAAAACTGTAATTTCCAATACTTCTGGGATCTGCAACAGCAGGATTCATTGTAGTCACCAGGGAGAGGAGGGGAAGAGAGACATTCCTCCCAGTGCCAAGGAGTAATAGCCACTACAGTCATTGTAGCTGCCAGATTGCAGGGGGAGGATCTTGTGGATCACAAGATTTCATAGTTACTTAGTTTTTTTTGGGGGGGGGGGTCATTCTCCACTGTGGCTGGCAATTGCCAGTTCCTTCCCAAAGAGAACCTGGGGACGTTTTCTGTATACTAAACCGGATCAATCAGCACAGTACCTTTATTATACAGAGTCCCGTCAAAGTAGTAGCTTCCCGTGTAGAATCCTGTAGCATGTTCTATTAGGTGGCGTGCCCAGGTGTTTCCGGCTCCAGGGAAACTTGAAAGAGCAACAAATGCTTTGGATTTTGTAGGGAGAAACTTCCGGTCAGTACATCGGGTGTCTGTAACCAAGTATAGTTGCTATTTCATTAACACAGTAATTTTAATCATACTGAATACTAAAGTATCAGGTTGCTCAGCACTGTTCAATCCTAATTGAGTGTAGGCTAAATACATACATGCATTGAGAAGAATCACAGGACACTAACCTGCACGTAACAGCAGAGGGGTGAGATCATGTTTTCCCACCCTACCCACTAGGTATGACTGTTCCACCTCCAGCACCACTGGATGCTCATTCATTGCACTAAAGCTTCAAGAGGCCACACATACATAAAGTCCAATATGTGTTGTTCTCCTACCTTGCGTTCTGTCCTCCCCCCCACACACAGTTCATGAACCAGCTTTTCAACTTGTGCATATAACACTCTTCAAGTGTTGTGTTCATTAACGGATGTCGAGAGAGGGGGGCAGGGGACAATGCACCCGGGTCAGTCGCTCTTCCCCACTGCCCGGAGCTATCTCAGCCGATGGGCAACAAAGGCCACTGCCCCAGGCCCCGTTCTGAGGGGCTCTGGCCACCTGCAGCCCTGCCCCGACGGAGGGAGGAGGACAAAGCAGCAGCAGCAGCAGCAGCCGCGTGGGTCTCCACGGCCATCCCGAGCTCAGGAAACCCTCTCAGCTACCGCCACCGCTTGGGCCCACTCCGGCCGAGGCTCAGGCAGCCCCTTCTGGCCGTGGCTCCTGCCTGCCTCACAGGCAGGCCTGTAGCCAGGATGTCCTTTGCCAGGGGGCATTTACATTCCTTAGGGGGAACTTAATTAAAGTTGATTGAATTACCTTTAATTCAGTTAACCCCACTTCAAGCCTCGCCCCCTTTTCTTTTACAGGGGCCAGGTGGGGAAGGCAGGCAGCAAAGAAAGGCAAGGCCGTGGAGAAGTGCGGCGGTGCACTCGCCCACTCAGAGAGCCGACACCTGAGAGAGACGCCTAGGGCCCCTCGGTTGCTCTTCCCCCCCACAAAAAAAGAGAGAAAACTTTTGCAAGCCCCCCTTCATGGGCCTGAACTTTGCAATATCACAGAGCTCAGCCTGGGTACTTTCTCAGGGATGTGCACAGATAGACCCATTCCCCGTCAGTGGCAGGCCAGGCTCACTTGCTGACTCGCCCTCCCCTGGGTCAAGCTGCTGCTCCTCCCTGTCTGTGGCACTCGCTTGCCTGGCCCTCCCCTCCCCAGCACGTCTCAGTCTTAGGGCTGCCAGGCCTCCTCCTCCTCCTCACCCGGAGGCAGCTGAGTGAGCAGCCAGTTGAGCACCCGCTGCAGCCACAAAGATGTGGTCGGGGTCAGTGGCCAACCCTTACAATCTCTGGCTGGCCTGTTGCTCACAGCAGGGGGGGTCTGAGAAGTTGGGGGGGCTCACAGTAAGTTGGGGGCCCGGTGTCAGGTTCAACAGAGCAGTTGCAGTCCACAACGATTCATAAGAATAGGTTGCTTTAATACAAGTCACTATTGATACACTTTCATGGTCATTGTCAGGAATGAAATTCAAAGCCAAGCAGGTACAGATATAGACAGTTCAAAAAAAAAGGTTAAGCCAATGAATACAGTTTGTGCTCAGCAGAAATTCAAGTGGGAGAAAACCAAGGCGGGGGAAAGCCTTTCAGCCGTTTGGTTCACACCAGCCAGATTGGGAACGGCCCCATCAATGGTTCTCACAGTCTTACTTACTACAAAGGCAGCAAAAGCATGCCAAGGTCAAAACAAGAGATAAAGCGCCCAGGGAGGATGAGAACAGAGCAACAGAGATAACCCCCCCCCCATCATACAGCAGGCAGGTTACACAGAGCATACACAGAATGCAAATGGCAGTTTACTGGCACCCAGGCCCCAGGGGGCTCCATCATCACTACGGGCCTGCTCACAGGGCCTACGGCTTGGCCCTGGCAGTGGAGGCTTGTGGGGTGGTGGTGATGGAAGGGTAGCAACAATTCTGGGAGCCAATTATGGACTACTGCCAGGGCCCTAGAATCACTAAGGATGCCCCTGCGGACTGCACAAAAATGGAAAGGAAGGAACAGGATAATCCAAACTGGACTCAAGGTGCTTGATAACTGGGCAGATGTGTAAAAAGGGGTGGGGGACTCCAATCACACCAGTAGTGATGGGGGGAAACTCAGACTCTTTATATGCAAGCATCCTGTCAAACAGCTGAAGATGCTCAGTGGACATCTGCAGGCATTGGGGACACTTTTGAAGTGCAGGTGGCATGTGTCAGCAGTGGTGTCCCTTTCACCAGCCCAGTCCTGACCTACCGGGGGGGGGGGAGGGCAGCTAGCTCCTCAGATACACAGCTGGCCTCTTTCTAATGCAAATTATTCTTCCCAATCATTCTGGCCAGTGTGGTGGACTCCTCATTAACAGCGTCAGACTCAGATCTGGGAAACCAAGGTTCAGATCCCCACTTGTGCCATGGAAGCTCATTGGGAGACCCTGGATGAGTCACACTTTGTCAGCCTAACCTACCTCACAGGGTTGTTGTGAGGATAAAATGGCAGAGAGGAGATTGAAGTAAGCCACTTTGGGTCTCCATTGGGGAGAAAGGTGCAAATTCCTGCCAGGTTGATGGGAATTGTAGTTTTTGCAACTTCTCAGTCTGAATTGGAAGACCAAGGTTCTGAACCTAGCTGATGGGATGATGAATTGTACCAACTGGACCAGCACACTTTCAGGAGCATCTCTCCCCATATATGCCCCGGAGAGCCTTGCACTCTGCAGACCAACTTCTACTGGTAGCTCCTGGCCTGAAAGACGTCCGCTTAGCCTCAACCAGGGCCGGGGCCTTTTCTGCCCCAGGACCCTGCAGGGCCTGTAACAGTTCTGCAGGGCCTGCTAAATGGAGCTGTTTTGCCAGGCCTTTGGTTGAGGTGGCCGATTTTTCTACAATCTCAGCCTCCCCTGCCCACAGTAAGCCTATCGCTGCCTACTATCCTGCTGACGTCTAACAGGAGGCATAGTGGACGGCTCTGGAGTAATGTATGTTTCTTAGCTGCTATCCTTGTTTTATTTAACTGGGTTTTTAATTACATATTCATTGTATCTTATTCATTTTGTGAGCTGCCCTGAACCCATTGTGGGATAGAGCAAGATATAAGTGCAATGAAATCAATAAATAAATTACATTCAAAACACTGCTCATTCTTTAATTACAAACAAGTCAGCAATGTGAAAGTGTGGAGTGCTTAACTCCCTCCTCCCAAAATGCACCTGCAGTGCTGCTTCTGGGGGGACAAGGGACTCAGGAGTAAATGAGAGGAGCTGGGGTGATGCTGCAGGATGGGCAACTGCTCTCCCGCACATCTCTTTGACAGGGTCCAATCCGGCTCTCCCAGATTAGAATCCACGCTCCTAACCACTACACCAAATAGAAGAGGACTCCTCAGGAGAAGAGGAGCCCTGCATAGCCAGCACTGAGTCAGCAAGCAGGAAGATGAGCTACAAGTTGTCAGGGTTCACAGCCAACAGCTGTTCCAGATGCACTGGCACCCTCCAGCCCTGATTCAACAGGTGAAACTTGGTCGTTTTCAGCCCTTCAGTAACACCCACACCTTTGGAGTGCCACAAATGGTGGTTAAGAGCAGAGCTACAGGAAAGATGACAAAGTGCACACCTCCTGTCCCAATGCCAGCTGCTTGTTGATAGCAAAGATTAGTAGCTGCAGGATTACTCCTGAGCAGATGGCTACAAACAGTACCCTTAAGCATATGGCTATAAAAAGCAGCAAGGAAGGCTGTTAGACATGGAAGCAACAAGCAACCATTCCTTGACTCTCCCTTTCTTGTAACCCCTGAACCTGCTTGTGGATGACTCTCTGACTTCCAGACCTTACTACACAGATTGACCTGGTTTGATAGTCAGGACACACAACACAGTGCTTCATAAGAAGAATTCTGTTTATTGGTACACCAGGACTATGACACGCGTAATGCTTGTGTCAGGAATGGAGAACAGTATGACACCCTGAATTATACTGGGATCAAACACACGCACCCCTTACAAGCTGAAGCCAATAAGCAAAGTTCGCGCACGCAGGGAAAGCCATTGGTTCCCAGCTAAAGCCAACAGCAGCTGAAACATCCCAAGGTCAAGATAGTAGATAATACCCAGACAGTGAAACTCTGCATGGCAGGCAGAGCAAGATGGTTTCCCCCTCCACACATTCCAGCAACATGGCCCCCCCCAGGTTTATCTGATAAATGACGATGGAACCTCCGCAGCAAACGAGGGGCCCTGATGTGACCCACCTCCACCCACTCTGTGTTGCAGCCCAAAGTCAACCCATTCCACCAAATAAAACAACTTGTTCTGCTTATCAGCAACTTCGAAATGTGGTTCGCTGTGAACATTTGGGGGGGGGGCGGCTGTGCTTGTTGGGGTCTCCAAGCGTTTGGGCCAGGATCCCATTTTAGGAGCCTGAAATGGAAAACGGGGTGCAAATGCTTTAAATTCTTTGGCAATATAAATTCAACAGTCACATCATTTATCTTGCACCTGACCTGAAAAGGACCAATAAACTTCCATCCCAGTTTACGGTTAGATTGAAGCCCCCTGATATTCTTAGTGGAGACATAGACAGAGTCCCAGCCCTCTGAACAAATGTATCGAAAAGCTTGAGCTTTGTACGCTTCCTTAGCCCCCTCCAAAGTCTTGCACAGGACCAGCCACGCTTCTTGCAACCCCCTACACCAGTCCCCTACATCCCCCTCCAGTAGGACCGTATCAGTCAGGAAGGGGAGAGGTGGAGCTTCATAACCATAGGCAGCCATAAATGGGGAAACTCGCATGGAGGAATGACATGCGTTGTTATAACAAAATTCTGTGAAGGGAAGAAGACCCTCCCAGTCATCCTGTTGAAGGTTTGTGAAGCACCGTAGGTATTGTTTAAAGGTTTGATTGACTTGCTCCATTTGGCCATCAGTCTCTGGGTGATAAGCACTACTCAGGCCCCGTTCCACCCCCAACAGGTGCATCAGTTCCCCCCAAAACTTAGAAACGAACTGCAACC